ACCAGAAGGAAGACTGCTCTGTTCTCCTATCAGCCAGGGAACTTGGTTCTAGGAGCAGAAAACCCTGCACATCAGTGCATGTGAGACCAACCTGACCCCAGCCAACACCACCCCACAGGAGGCACAGGACGGACGGTGCCTTGGAAGGGGTGGGCTCAAGATGTTATGCCAGAGATAACAGGTAACCAACTACCTCACGTCGAGAGGCACCAACGAAACCACCTCACTTTGCCACATCAACCACCTCCACCTGGTTCAGGGTCACCATCAGCATGTTGCTCCATTGGGGTGACACTGGTAGAGACCACCAGGCATGGCTTGACCTTGGGAAGGTGAAGCAGCCAGGGACTGGTTTAACCCTGGGATTTAAGAGCTATGCAAATGCCTTTCCTTCCTCAAGAGGCTCTCAATTAATGAGGTGCGAGACTCAAGCAGCTGTACTGGAGGTAACAGAAAGGAAGACACTCACTTTGTGATTTCCCCAAACAAATTACAAGTGGTTAAAGTGAAAGCCCAACTGTGATTATTGAGCTCCATCGCTGCCTTAGCAAGATTAAAATTTCATTTCTATGAATTATTTTAGATTTAGCCTCAATTTAGAGCCATTATTTGCAGAGCAAACAGATGCAAAGCAGGTTTAATCTCTTCAAATACACAGCTGGGGATTTCTACAGGGAAGGCTGAAGAATTAATACAGGAAGAAGAAGGAGCATCCCTGCAGTGATGGAGGTGTTGGTGGGGTCAGGAGGAGAGGAACAAGAGCTGGGGCTCAGTTTGCACCAAGTCACCTTCAGCCCAGCCTCAAGCACCAGGACTCACAGCCCGTGTTCACCCCTTGAGGGCTCAGGGCTCTGCTGTCCCTGCCTCGAGGTGGGGACGTCGCCTCTGTCCTGTATGGTGGAAGTGGCACTTCTAAGTGGTGACAGCCCAGAACACTCCAGAGCTCTGCAATGAGTCTAAAGGGTGAAACAAAGAGCAGTTATATTAACCCCACACAGAGAAGCTTTGATTGCTCATCTATCTACCAGCAGCGTGATCAATACCTGTCCAGGAAGCCACTGGTTTGAGCTACACTGACAATCAGCACACACAGTGTCAGCATCCTCAGAATGGCCCCACAGCCCCTGGACCACTCACCAGCTTTTGGAGAAGGAAAAGGGGATGGAAGCAGCATGGTAAATACTCAAGCAAGGCTGTGAGTGCAGAGGCATGGAGATGAGCAGGGGCTTTGTGATGGGGCAGAGGGGTGAAAGCAGACAGGACAGAGCATGTGGCAGGGTGACAGAAATCAGCTGCAAGCCTCTGCTTCCCCAGGCCCTGCACCCTGGCATGTGGAGGATGCAGGAGGGAGCAGCAACTTCCAACTGCCCCATCCTGCTCTGGACACCCACCTTACAGCTCCCCACACAGCTGCTGGGCAGGACAAGGCCATTTGGATGGGCAGCCTGGGATGAAGCTGAGGCGTCAGCTTGGATCAAGCAGCAAAACCATTCCTGCCCCCTTCCCCTCTCTGCTCAGCTGCTATTTACCATGGGCTTTGAAGCCCAAAGCTGGGGGCAGGCTCCAGCACCAGGCACACAACAAAACCCAACCAGAGGCACAACCCTGATGCTACAGACTCACAGTGGAATCGCTGAACTCCTCAGGTGCTGCCTGCAGAGAGCAGCAATGGCAGGGGACAAGCACAAGAAGCCAAGAGGTGGCAGGGAGCAGAATGCCCCCAGGAGCAAGCTGCCAATGAGATCTCCATCCCTGTCAGCACGAGGTACCATTGACAGCTCACAAAACACATCTCAAGAACCCCCAGAGATCACACACAAGACTCCTGCTGCACCTCCTGCCACTAATGCTCTGATGGGATCCCCCTCCCCAGCCTCCTGCTGGGTCAGGAATTCTCCTTCCCATCCAATAGGACCCACCACACCATGCCTGGGTTCACCACGCTGCTCGCTCCACTCCCATCACCCTGCAAACCTTGGGATAGGGGCTGGATCCCTTCAGGAGGAGCATGGTCCCCCTCCTCTTGGACTTTCAGGCGGGACAGCCAAGCCCACCACGGGCACAAGCTCTGCTCCTGGCTCCAGGTCTCACCATGGTCCCATCCCATCTCCTCCCTCACCTGATCCCCAGTGCCTGGAGGCCACAGGGTGTGCCTGCTCCAACCTCAAGCCTTGGGTTTGGGGTGTTGCTGCAGACTCAGCAAGCCAAGAGCTTTCCTCAGAGCCCTGTGGGACAAAGATGAGGGCAGAGGCCTGGCCAGGGAGCTGGGCTGCTCGAATACCACTGGGGTTAACCACACACCTCACCTGCACGCAGCCTGCACCAGCCCCATCTGCATCCCAACGACTTCCCCTGTGAAGGGCACCACCTGAATCCCCAATGCCAGGAGGCAACATCCCTCGGGCACCAGCTCCAACAGGACCATACCCACAGCTCAGGAGCTCCCAAAGGGCTGGCAAAGCCCACCTGCAGCAATGAAGCTTTTGGGGCAGGAACCTCCCCATGAAGTCATCCGAAGAGGCACAAGTTGGGTGGTCAAATCCCACCTGAGAGCACTGCCTTATCCCTGCTTCCAGCACCAAACAAGTGGCCGCATCCTTAAGGAAACATGTAAGAATTGACTTCTCATCACACATTATCACTGGCACGCTTGGAACAACCATGCAAGAACAGAGCCAGGCCAAACCCTCCTGGCAGCGTAATGGGCACAGCCACTGCCCAAACTAAACCCTTAATCCCTAAGGACGGCAGAAAGCTCTTCAGAGCTGACACCAGAGCACGGAAACCCCCAGTGCCTGCTCACACACACACGGGAATTCCACCACGACCGGGGTCAGGCTCCTGGAACAGGAGCTGTTAAATGGAGTTAAGCTGCGTGGAGGTGGCTCTGCACCGTCCCATCCTTCCCGAGGAGCTGAGAACACAGCAACAACCAACGCGACCCAGGGCAAACCCCGCACACAACGGGAGGAGGCACCAGGACACGGCCCCCGACCCCCCCTCTGCCCTCGGGCCGGAGCTGGGAGATGCCAAGAACGTGGAAAACTCCTTCCTGTGTGTTTGTGGAGCGCCTTGAGTGGATCCCAATGGATTTAAGCCTGGCCAACCAGGATACTGTGAGCCCCGGCCTCCTTGGGACAGCGGTAACGCACAGGGGGTGACTTTAGCGGTGACAGCGGCATAAACGTGGGTTATAACCGGGATAAACGTGGGTTGTAACCGGGATAAACCCGAGTTGTAACCGGGATAAACCCGAGTTGTAACCGGGATAAACCCGAGTTGTAACCGGGATAAACCCGAGTTGTAACAGGGATAAACCTGAGTTATAACCAGAATAAACCCGGGTTATAACCAGAATAAACCCGGGTTATAATCGGGATAAACCCAGGCTATAACCGGGACAAACCTGGATAATAACCGGGATAACCCTCGGCTCCAACCCGAATAAACCCCACTTCCAACCCAGACCCCCAGCTCAACACCCGGTCCGGCTCCTACAGGCCCCAGGCCGCAGCCCCCGCTCCCACCAGCGGGGCGGGCCCACACCCGGCCTTGGCCCCGCTGCCGGCCCATGGGGAGGCGGCAAGAGGGTCGCGGCCCACCTCAGGGACACCCCCCCCCTTCACCGGGAGCCCCGTCCCGCCCCGTCACCTCGCAGCTGAACTCCATCTCGGCGTCCATGGTGGCGATGCGCACGGTGAACGTCTTGGGCTGCTTCCTCTTGAGCGAGCTGAAGCTCATGCGGGACGCGATGGCCCCGGCCATGGCGGGGCAGCTCAGCGCGGCGGCAGCAGCAGCGCCATGGCGGCGCGCGGCCCTCCTCCCCGCCGACCCGGCCGCACCGCCCTGAGCCCGCCCTCGCCGCAACGCTATTGGTCTTGTGCGGCTCTGGTCCCGCCCCACCATGGCGTTTAGCCAATAAAAAAGAGAATGGTGGGAGGGACGTGATTGTGACTGGGGAAAGTGGATGTCGCTCAAATGAGCGGGTGGGGAAGCGGCGCCCTCTTGTGGCACTGCCCAGTGGCGCATGCGTGCGGTGGGTGTGGAGGTGGGCGCTAGGACCCTGCAGCGCGGGGCGAGGGGTCCCGGTGAGGCGGGGACAGGGGGAGCTGCCCCCCCCCCCGGGGGTCCCGGTCCCTCCCCGGGTCCCGGCTCTGCCGCAGAGCCCCTGGTCCCGCTCCGGGCACCGGGAGGGGACTCGGAAAGGCGGGGACATGGGGCGGGACCGGGGCAAAGGGGCTTGAAACGGGGCTGGGACCGGGATTGGAGCAGGGACAGCGGCACCGGGATAACGGGACGGGACAGGGCTGGGAATGGAATCGCGACAAGGGGACTGAAACTGAGATAACGGGACGGGGACTGGTACACGAGGACGGGACCGGGATCAGAACCGGGACAAGGGACGGGACTGGAAGCGGGACGCCGGGACCAAGACAGCGGGACTGGGACAGCGGAACGGGAGTGGAACCGGGACAACGAGGCGGGACTGGGACCGAGACTGGAGCAGGAACAACGGCACAGGGACAGCGGGGAGGGTCTGGGACGGGAACCGGGACAAAGGGACTGGCACTGAGCTGAAATAACGGGACGGGAGCAGGGACAAGGGACGGCACTGGGACAGGGACGCCGGGACCAAGACAGCGGGACTGGAACAGCGGAACGGGAGCGGAACCGGCACAACGGGGCCGTAGCAACAGGACTGGGACCGAGATAACGGGACGGGAGCGGTACTAAAACCAGCATCAGGACAACGGCGGGGAAGGGACAAACGGGACCGGGAAAACAGGACGGGACCGGAGCCAGGGCAGCGGGACGGGACTTGGGCTGGAGCTGGGGCTGGGACAACGGGACCGGGACAACGGGACCGGGACCAGCACCGGGGCCGCGGTACGGGGCCAGGATTGGGTCCAGGCCGGGGGTACCGGGCAGGGCTGAGCCCCCCCCCCCAGCCCCGCTCCTCCCCCAGCCCATCCACCCCCGCAGCGGGGAGAACGGGGCCTCTGTGCCCGGGGACAATGGGGACATTGACGGGGGCGGCCCCCCCGTGTCCCCGCAGCACCCCCATGGCAGGAGCCGACGATGCCGCCCCCCGCCGCCCCCCCCACCCCGCGGGCCCGGATACCCCGGTGGGTACGGGGGGGATTGGGGGAGCGAGGGGGGCCGGGGGTGCAGGCATGGGGAGGTACGGGGGGCAACGGGAGCTGGGGGGGGGGGGTCATGAGGAGCTATGGAGGGGTATGGAGGTGAGGGGGGCAATGGGGGCTGGATGAGGGCAGGGGAAGCCATAGGGGGCAATAAGGGCTAGGTGGCAATGGGGGGGTCATGGGGATTACGGGGGGCTATGGAAGGTCATGGGAGGGTATGGAGAGGCAATGGTGATCTATGGGGGATCAATGGGGGCTGGATGAGGGCAGGGGAAGCCATGGGGGGCAATAAGGTTTAGGGGGCTATAGGGGGCAATGGGGAGTGGGTGCGGGCAGGGGAAGTTATGGGGGGGCAACAGGGGCTAGGGGGTACTCAACGGTGCTATGGGGTGCTGGGGGACCCGTGGGGAGCTATTGGGGGTATAGGGAGGGGCCAGGGGAGCTCGGGGGGGGGGGTCACTGTGGGGTAGGGGGGCTGGGAGGGAACCAGGGGGTCAGGGTGGGGGATCCGGATCCCCCCCCTTGGTGAAGCCCCTTCTCAGCCCTGCCGGGCCGTGCCGCGGGTCCACGCCTTCGGGAAGGGGGGGCAGGCGCTGCGCAGGGACCCCCGCGCCCCCCCCGCCATGCGCGGCTGGCTGCGCAAGCAGGTGGGGGCTGAGGGGGGGGGATGTGGGGTTTTGGGGGGCTGGGGTGGGGGGTTATGGGGTGGGAGGGGTCTGGGGGTGCTGAGGGGGGAGGGTTTGAGATTGCGGGGGGCTGGGGTGGGGAGCACGGGGTATAGGGGGGCTGGGGGGATGAGGTGGGGGTATGGGACGTGGGGGGTCCGCAGTGGTGGGGATCGCGTTGGGGGTCTGGGGTGTTGGGGGTCTTTGGTCTGGTTATAGGATATGGGGGGTCTGGAGTGGGGGTGCTGTGGGGTTACGGGGTTTGGGGCATCAGAAGGGGTTTGGGGGTCCCCGGGGGTGACGGGTTTGTGGGGGGGCTCAGCCCTATGCTTCCCCCCCCCGCCCCAGGACAGCTCCGGGCTGCGTCTGTGGAAGCGGCGCTGGTTTGTGCTGGTCGATCTCTGCCTCTACTACTACAGAGGTGAGAGGGGCTGGGGGCACCCGCGGCCCTGTGGAGGTTGGGGGTCCATGGGGGGGCATCAGAAATCCTTGGGGTTGGGGTCCCTGGTGGGGCTGAAGGAGTCGTGGGGGGGGGGGGGGAGAGGTTTGGTGGGACCCAGAGGAGGTCCCTGACATCCCCCCGTTGATGGTGGGGGGATCTCAGGGTGCTGATGGGGTCCCCCCCATTGAGACCCTTCTGCCCCCCACCCCAGACAGCAGCGAGCAGCGAGTGCGGGGCGGCCTCCCCCTGCCCGGCTACGAGATCCGCGTCCTGCCCCCCGCGCCCCGCACACCGCACGCCCCCCAGTTCCTGTTCACGGTCAGCATCGCCCCCTGGAGCCCCACAGCCGGGGGTGGCCTATGGGGGGGGGGGTACACACAGAGTGTCCGGACCCCTCCACCATGGGCACCCCCATCCCCAGGCCGAGCACCCCGGGATGCGGACCTACTGCCTAGGGGCCGAGACCCCCGAGGAGATGAACGCCTGGGTCTGCGCCCTGCGCCGTGGGGCATCGCCCCTGCCCCGGTGAGGGGGTACCAGGGGGCTGGGGCCATGGGGCCGCATGGGGGGGGCTGAAGTTAGGGGGTTGTGGGCTTTGGGGAGGGGGGCAGAGAGGGGTAGGGGGGGTCACAGTGGTTTGGGTGTATTTAACCCTTTAATCCCTGTGTCAGCTCCCCACAGGAGCCCCGGGGTGCGGGACCCCCGTCCCCCCCATTGCCTGCTCGGTGCCACCCTCCTTGCTGCACCTCGGGCCCTCCGCTGCCCCCCAGCAAGGTGAGCACTGAAGGGGGGGACCCCTCTGTTTAACCTGCCCCATGGTGACCCCCAGAGCAGCCTCCTGCCCCCCATCCCGTGGCACTTGGGGGCTGGAGTCTTCACCCCCCAACCTAACACTGAGTGTCCCCCCCCCGCTGTTCTCACACCCTCTGCCCTAGGGTCCCATCGGTTCTGGGTGCCTCCAGGAGAAGCAGCCTGGGGGGGGTGGTGGCCGGGGCGGCACCTTCACACCCAGGGGACCCCTGTGCCCCACCATGGGCGATTTGGGGGTCCCCATATCCCACAGCAGAGACCCCAAATACCCCCTGCCTTGGCAGGGCACCCCAATGTACCCTCCCGGGGGGGGGGGTTAACCCCCATACGGACTCCATATAATCAGCCCCTCCAGTGCTGGGGGTCTCGTCCCGTCCTGCCCCCATCCCGCTCCCCAGGGTTGGCTGTGGGTGCTGGGGCAGGGCGAGGGGGCTGCGGTGTGCCTGGGGAGGGGGGGCGATATAGGGAGCCCATGGGGTGGGATGGGGATGCTATGGGGGGGAACCATGGGGCAGGGCGGACCCGCCGGGCCCCGCGCCCTCACGCAGGTGCCCGCACCCCAGGAGGAGGCCCCGGCCCAGGGGGGGCGCTGCGGGACCCCCAGCACCGCTCACGGAGGGTCCCGGACCCACTGCGTGGCGCCTGAACCCGCGGGAACCGCTGACCACGCCCCCCGACCACGCCCCGAAATGACCACGCCTCCAATGGGGAGGTGCCAGCGGGAGACGCGCCCTCCTGGAGCAGCGACCAATCAGCAGCCTCCTCCTCCGGCCGGCAGCGGGCGGGACGCAGCGGAGGAAGACACCGCTGTCAATCAGACGCCGGCTTCTCCAATGGACTCCTCTGATTGGCTACTGCCCTTCCGGAGCACCGCCTCCCCGCCAGCAGCAGCCAATGAGACGTCGCCGAGGGCGCGGGAGGGGATGAGTGGGCGGGGCTCGCAGCGAGAAGGTGTGGCCGGGAGCGGGGCTCGGCGGCCAATCAGAATCACCCTCCTGCAGGCCAGCTTCTGAGGGAGGGGCGGGGCGCCACGCCCCTTGTGGGCGTGGTGGACTGAAAGGGGGCGTGGCGGGACTGAAAGGGGGCGTGGCCAGCGCAGCCCCGCCCGGTGCGGGCGAAGATGGCGGCGGCGGCGGCACTGCGGGTGCTCCGGCGGGGTTGTAGCGGCGGCGGGGCCGGTCCCGGAGGGCGGTGAGTGGGGCCTGGCCGGGACCCCCGCTCCCCGCTTCCAGCCTCTCCCGCGCCCTGGTCCCCCCCGGTCCCTCAAGGCCGGGCCTGGCGCGGGGCCCCCGCCGCTGTTAATGCCTCACCGGCCGGGGCCCCATGGGCAAAGGTCCGTCCGTGCAGCGCGGTCCCGTCCGGGCACCACCGGGGCTGGGCTGGGGCTTTTCCCCACGTCCCCCCCATCACATGGGTCTGGATGGAATGAGCCCCCCCCGTGGGCAGCATGGGCTGTGGGTCCCGGTTCGCCCTCCACCCGTCGGTCCCGGTGCTGAGCCGCTGTCCCTTAGGGGGTACTCGCAGGACGCCGAGGGCAGCTGGTTCCGCTCCCTGTTTGTGCACAAGGTGGATCCCCGCAAGGACGCGCATTCCAACCTGCTCTCCAAGCGGGAGACCAGCAGCCTCTACAAGATCCAGTGTGAGTGCCCATGGGGGACCCCCCCCCCCCAAGCCGGGTCCGGGTCCAGCCCCAGCCTGGCAGCCGCTCTGTGCTCTCCCCGCAGTTCACAACGTGAAGCCGGAGTGCCTGGATGCCTACAACGGGCTGACGTGAGCCCGGCACCGGGGCTGCTGCGGGAGGGCTTGGGCTGTGCCCTGCTCCTTGCCTTGGTTCCCTCCCTGTGGAACGGGTGCATCGCCCCCCCCACCAGAGCCGTGCTGGGCTGGGGGGAGCCAATGGGGCTATCGGGGGTGTTTTGGGGTGCTGCTGCCTCCCCCCCCAGCTCCGTTCTCTGTGCTCCCATAGAGAGAAGGTGCTGCCCAAGCTGCACTTGGACCCTGACTACCCCTGTGACCTGGTGGGCAACTGGAACACGTGGTATGGGGAGCAGGACCAGGCAGGTGAGGGCAGTGCCAAGGGCAAAGACCTCGGCTCACCCTGGGGTCTGGGACACGAAGGGAGAGGTTCGGGAGGTGCTGGGTGGGCTCTGGGGGGACTCTCCCTATCCCCGTCCCTATCTCCATCCCGTCCCTATCTCCATCCCGTCCCTGTCTCCATCCCGTCCCTATCCCCATCCCGTCCCTATCTCCATCCCATCCGCATCCGTGTCCCCATCCCATCCCCATTCCCAACCCATCCCCATCCCATCTGCATCCCATCCCTATCCCCATCCCTCTCTCTCCTCACTCCCAGTGCACCTCTGGCGCTTCTCCGGGGGGTACCCAGCGCTCTCAGACTGCATGAACAAGCTCAAGCAGAACCAGGTACCACCGGGATCAGGGTAGGGGGGGAGCAGCTTGGGCTCCCCCCATCCCCTTTGCTTGACCCCCCCCTCGCCCCACCGGGGCTGTCCCCAGGAGTACCTGGAGTTCCGCAGGGAGCGGAGCCGGATGCTGCTGTCCCGCAGGAACCAGCTGCTCCTGGAGTTCAGCTTCTGGAACGAGCCCCTGCCCCGGCAGGGACCCAACATCTACGAGCTCAGGACCTACAAGCTGAAGGTGAGACCCACAGAGGGATGGTCCTGCTTTGGGGAGGTGGGGTGGGGCAGCCCCTAAATCCCTCTTGGGGTGGATGAGCTCTGGCTGCTCCCCCTGGTTCCTTTTCTCCTCTATTTCCAGCCAGGGACCATGATTGAATGGGGCAACAACTGGTGAGTGGTGGCTGTGCTGGCACTCGAGATGGGAAGAGGCCCCCCTGGATCAATGGGGGGGCTCTTTGGGAACCTACCCCCTGTGTTGCCCCCCAGGGCTCGGGCCATTAAGTACCGTCAGGAGAACCAGGAGGCTGTGGGGGGGTTCTTTTCCCAGATCGGGGAGCTCTACGTCGTGCATCACCTGTGGGGTAAGGGGTCCCTGTCACTCCGGGGGTACCCCCAACTGCAGGGGCCAGCTTGGGGCAGGGAGGGGATTGCCCTGGGTACCAGCTCCATCCTCTCCATGCAGCCTATAGGGACCTGCAGTCCCGGGAGGAGACAAGGAACGCGGCCTGGAGGAAGACGGGCTGGGATGAGAACGTGTATTATACAGGTGAGTGGGGACCCCCTGTGTTGGGGTACCCCCCCCCCCCTACATTGGGGACCCCCTTTCCTGACCAGTCTCTTCCTTCCTTTCCCAGTTCCGCTGGTCCGGACCATGGAATCCCGGATAATGATCCCCATGAAGATCTCCCCCCTGCAGTGAGGGGGGGTCTGCCTGCACCCCGAGGGGCTCCCTCTCTGCCTGCATCCCCCCCCCCATTACGGGGTGCTCTGGGATGGGGGGTGGATGTAGGCAGGGAAGGGAAGGGGGGAGCCCCCCATCCTGCAGCAGGTCCCCATGTGGGGCAGGGGCCGGCGCTGCAGAGGGGGGGGCAGAGGTTTGGGGGTGTCGTAATTCCTTCTGATGGGCCTTGTGGGGGCCGTGTCGCCAATTAAATACTGACCATGCCAAAGCCTGGCCCCTTGGGGGGAGTGGGGGGGAAATTGGGGTGCTCCAACCCCCCCCGGCATGGGGAGCAAAGCCCCCAGCCTTGTGTCAGCCATGGGTGCCCCCTGCACCAGAACCCCCCCCCCACCTTGCTTTGGTGCTCAGGTACTGCCTGGTCACCCCCAAACGCCTCCATGTGACATCAGGGACCCCCAAAACCCCTCCGTGTGACATCAAGGATCCCCCAAACCGCTCCATGTGACATCAGGGACCCCCCAAACCCCTCCATGTGACATCAGGGACCCCCCAAACCCCTCCATGTGACATCAGGGACCCCCAAACCCCTCCATGTGACATCAGGGACCCCCCAAACCCCTCCATGTGACATCAGGGACCCCCCAAACCCCTCCATGTGACATCAGGGACCCCCAAATCTCTGCTTGCTCCTGGTGCCATTGGGTCCCCATCTGTGTCCCCCTCCCAAGCCCATGGGTACCCCCGGTGTCAATGAGGGACCCGCCTCCCCGGGGCAGCCGTCCCCCAAGGCGGGCTTCTCAATGGGGGATTGACCACGCCCCTTTGTTGAAGCCACGCCCACCGCGACGGACTCCACGCCCACTTACGACCGCCGCTCGCGGTCCTCCGGAGCGAGCGTCCGCTAGGGGGCGCTTTCAGGCGCGCTGCACCGCTCTAGCCTGCTCGTCTGTCGTCACTTCCGGGTGGAGCTGAGGGCAGCGGCGCCGTCGTGGTGTGTGGGGTCCGTGGGGCTCGGTGGGGCAGAGGCCCCGGTGTGTGGGGTCCGTGGGGCTTGGTGGGGCGAGGATCGCTGTGTGGGGGTTCGTGGGGCTCGGTGGGGCAGAGGTTCTGGTGTGCCCGGTCTGTGCGGCTCGGTGGGACGGAGGCCCCGGTGTGCTAGTCCGTGGGGCTCGGTGGGGCAGAGGCCCTGGTGTGCCCGGTCTGTGGGGCTGGGGAGGCGGAAGTCCCGGTGTGCGGGGTCCGTGGGGCTGGGGTCGCTGTGTGTGGGGTCCGTGGGGCTGGGTGGGTCAGAGGCCCCGGTGTGCGGGGTCCCAGTGGCCGCGCTCGCAGTGGCTTTGCCCCCCTGGCAGCAGCTTTGCCTCCCGTCCCGCAGCGCCATGTCCTCGGAGTCCAGCAAGAAGAGGAAGCCCAAAGTGATCCGCACGGACGGGGCCCCGCCAGAGGGCAAGAGGGGCAAAGGCGATGGGGACCAGGTAGGGCCCGGGCCCCCCCTTGCTGCAGCAGGGCACTGCTGCGCTGAGCTGGTGTTATCATCCCCTTGGGGGAGCTGAGGCCCATCCGTCAGAGCCAGGATGGCTCCAATGCCTCTGAAACACTGAGCTTCCAGACCTGCCTCCGTCTCTTTCAGGACTCCTCAAGGGGTCAAACGTTCATGTGGAGACACAGGGAGAGCGAGC